TTCTACTATAATTAATCATGTACATATGTATGTATTAAAAGTTTTTAAATTATACCAACTCTGAGTCTGTTGACATATTTATATATCTTTACATTAGAAACTGTGTTTTACTCTTTTTAATTTTACAATATAAAATATCGAACATCACGCGATTGTCTATTAAGTAAATACTGAGACAGTTCATATTCAGAAAACAATAGTTATAGAATTAATAATACACACATACATACATATGTACATGTAACATTAAATTGAATAAATAAAGTAACATTAGAACGCCAGCGTCCTTCTACCAATTAAATTTCGGCCAATGCTTACCATCTAATAAGCTCTTCTATTGCTTTCGAATTTAAAAAAATACTCATCCTATATATTCTATAAATTTTACTTTTTATAACAAAAATAATATTAACTTTCTAACTCCGAAGTTACATCAGTTCATCTTCATTTTCATCTTGAATATGACTTTCTGTATTTTTCAACTTCAATTTGACTATAGTGTCCCTTGACAAATTGTCGTGGGTTTGCATATAGATTTGCAGCACTTCTTGCTCGAAAGTGGGATCCATCAAAATAGCAATGCCTTTCATTCCTAAACGTTTGTTCTTTTGAAATATGACGTTAGAGGCTTCCCACAAATCACAATTTTCTTTCAGTATGTGAACTAGTGGTTGTAGCATGGAGAATAATGTGGCAAGATTACTATAAAAGAAAGTACAGAAGACAGTAAAATGATTTTAAGGCAACAAAATAGCTTGAGTACAATTACTATAAAAATATACTCACGTAAAAACTGGAATAACTATATTTGAAATAAACTGAACTTGAAGGTCTGGTATAGAGGCGCGTTCTCTGTCCATCATTTCTGTAGGACATATGCCCATACTCCTTTCTAAATCTCCTTGTGAGAAGAACTCCTCGTAAATACATTCCTGAAGTACAAAATCGGTGTTAGATAGAGTAATAATTATCTAAATATTGTACTTACTGCAGTCTTTTTCGAAACTGTCCAATGTTTAGTTTGATCACTAAGATCGCAACACGTCATAAGCATTTCAAAAAATAGTTTTCGCTGTTTGGAATCATTTTTAACATTATTATTATTGATCATTTGGTATTGCACTTCCGCAACGCGAAGATGAGCTGCCAAATCAGTCGCAAGAATATTATTTTTCAATAAATCCAATGCTTCATAGTATTCGTTGCTATTAAAATTTTCAAATATATTGCAACCTTCTGTATTCAAAATACACATAGTTTGTGCTAAGTGATGTCTCTGTCGAACAGTGTAAAATAGACATATTATCAAAAGTTGTTCCATTAACAGTTCATAGCACTTTCATCTTTGGAGATGCAAGCTTACCTCCATTACAGAACCTTCGGAACTATAAAGACTTGCCAGTACTGTGCTAGACACCATTTGAAATGAGTTATTGGTTCCTCTGTGGTCGATATCGTGACACAAGCAAGCCACTAAGAAAACTAAAGCTTGCAAATGCGTCATGTAGTTTTCAGAAATCAAATGCAGGTTTCTAATTAATAAATACCCAAAATGTGTTACAGAGAACGCATGTGGCCAATTGTGATAAGGTGCATCCCTATATCCCTTCTTCACGTATAATATAAACCTACACAATTTTTCAATTAATCATACATCGTTTCCTTTTTTCCTTAAAATACTTGACAATTTTATTACCTAGCTAATGTCGACAGTTTCAGCTTCCAATGCTTAGTAAGACCTAGATTATTGAACATTTTGATTGTGTAACACGGCATGTCCGCAAAAGGTACACGTCGCGGTGAAAAATGGAATTCATTAAAATCTTCTATATCAGAGCTGTGATTACAATTGATCAACGCTTGAACATCACTTTCTTCCACCTACAAAGAATCATTTCATTTATTAAATTACAGTCTCAATAAAGTACAGCTAGTATTTGACGAGGTTCTACCATCATATGATACATCATAACTTCGTTGCTGAGTATGTTTCTCGCTCGGGCATCCTTCATCTTCTTGTAAATGATACTGTGCATTATGGAAAGTCCACAGTAGATACTGAACGCAGTTGCAACTTCTTCATCAAAGATGTCAAAGTACAATCCATCCTTTTTATTACAAAGCTGTGCAACACCTACAGTAGAAAACAGTTATAATAATGTATTTTTGTAACAAGTGACAAATGAACGTTTTACTCACCAACAATTCCTTCCTCATCTCTAATTGGGAAGCACAAAATATTTCTGGTTTTGAAGCCTGTAACCTCGTCTATACGACGATAGAAAAGAGGATGTTCATACGCGTTCCTAATGTTAAGTAATTTACCAGTAGTCGCAACGTGACCTGCTATACCCTTCCCTATCGGTATTCTCATTTCTTTCACAGACTAGAAACAATTAAATCTTAAGTTTTTATTTATCGGACATAATATTCTGTCTTGAAAACTTTCAACTTACTTCTTTCATAGCAATACCGTCAAATACTTTAGCAACTAGATCCTGTTGATCGGGATCCAGAAGAAATAACGAGCATCGCTCTGCGTTTGTTAGATTTCTTACTTCTGCCATAATCTCGCGCAAGAGATCGGAAAACTCTCCTGTTTATTAACATGAAATTGCAATATTATACATATATATGTAGTCAATGCAAATACGTATATGAACACAATAATTTTATATTTATAAAATATTACCTAAATGACTAAATAGTTTTCTAGAAATGGCAAGTAATTTCTGGCATTGTTTCTTCTGACGAACTTCTTCATAACATGTGAACGAGTTCAACAAAAATCCCAAGCAAAATCTATACAAAACAGAAATGTATAATAGTTTTCATTGTTCGAAATTGTTAATCCACTTTTAATGCAGCAGAAAAAATATTTCACCGAAAACATTCTTGAACAATTTCTACATGCTTATCAGTTGTTCTATCATTGTTATCATCAATCAAAGAAACTACTACAGCTGTATAATCTTGCTTAGGATGTTTTATAGGAATCATTAAGAATGAACTTGGCATTGGACATTGGCATTGACATTGACATTGGATGCGGCGTATTATTTCCTCATCAACCAATGCGACATCTATAGTTGTTGGTGCCTTGTTTTGTATAGCCTTGTATAAAATGTTATTTAGTATCTGTAAAAAATATTTAAAGTTGCATAAATAAAACATGCAAAGTATAAACAATTATTTAAGCCTTTGCACTTTGATATGACAGCACTATTTTTCTTTGAAACTATGAAGTCACTCCTGAAGTGACATCACTTACTCCCTAGAATTTTTGAATCACTTCTGATATGATAACATTATTCTCCTCTAATATTCTTTAAGAAAGCAAGAATAGTACAAAGGATTAAATGTTGTTTATAATACCTAAGTTTAATGTTCATCTACCAGAATTATAACTTCTGCATGCAGCTTGTGCAAATCAACTATTATTTATTATCTTATCTGTAGGGCAAATAAAACTTTTTCATTTATGAACTAAAAATTAGGAATGTGTATATAATGATAAGTGGTATCTCCACTATTGGTAGTATTTTTCATCAGCCTAATATTATATCAATAGCAGCCTCATCTATGGCTTCCTCCATGTAGGTTTCTATGTATTCTATTTGAGGATTAAGCCATTGTCAGTCAACCAGACTGCATCACCAATGTAGGACAATCCTTGAAACTATTCTATGCCAAGCTCTAAATTTTATTTGAAATTGTATAATTAAATTTTATCTTAGACTTTCAATTTTTAAAATAAATTGAAAAATATCTGATAGAATGAATGCATTAAAAGAAGCCTGTTGTTTTTAAATATTGCTTAAACATGTTTAAACATTTATGATGTTATTAAAATATATAGCACTGTA